TACACCTCCGTTTGTATCCATCATTTCTGCCTATGATATCAGACACTATTTATTATAAAACATCTGTACCATTTTATAACATATTCCATGATCTCTATGGGAACAATGTAAAATTAATTGTTGACAATAATATGTTAACAATAGTACTTTTTATACTTTAGTGTTATGTAGCATAGATAAGGTTTTGGAGTATGATCATAGATTAGTATGATTTATACTTAACGTTTATACTAGTACATTGTCAAATTCAAATATCTTTATAATTTTTATAAACTAATTTGCTGAGGTAATGGACACAACTTTTGACGATATGTGGGGTTCCTGGAATTGGACTAACACAATGAAAGCAAGCTTTTTAGAACATACGGCTTATTCTCGATCCCTATTGAGTATTTTGTTTATTATATTAATTCTAACAATATTTATTATATTTAAACTATTAAATTTGATGCATATGACCCGAATATTGGGTGATAGGTGGCAACCATTGTAATTAATTTAAATACCGTTTTATGCCAATTATACTACATTCTGCATTAAAGTATTCTATGATTTATATGTCTTTTAACAGACATAGTATAAATATAACCTTTGAAAAAGAGATTTCTCGGTTATTTTATGATAATACAATGTTTTTAACTAATATTCTACTCAAAAGAGTGAAATCTAAGTAAGTAAATAATGTCATTTTTTTAATAAAAAATAAATTATACCACTTTTTAGACGGATTATGGTCCAAATGGAAAGTGTGGTTAGTGGACATAGATATATTGCTATAAGAGATAGATTAGCTGAAAAATTAGAAGTTATAAAATTTGATCCTTTTCGTAAGAGTGAAAATTAATTTTAAAACATTAACTTCATAGTTTCTTTGTTTCAGTTCAAACAGAATCTTTGTATAGGGAAAAGAAAAAAATTAGAAGTATGAAGTAGAGTACACTCCTTGTCTATGATTTATACCATTTATACTGTGAAGATGTTCATTGATACGGAACTATTGATGTATATCTACCATTGAACAAAATACATTTTAAATGTATGTTGTAGTATAATTTTATAATTTAACGAAATTTAAACGAATAAAGCTTCTTTAAGTTATATTTTATCTTATGAAATGAAAAATTATGTATAATTAATGAAATTGTACTAAAGTTGGTCGGTTAACGCTGTTATTAGATTGAAATGTACGGTTTTCCCCCATATTGTTCCCATTGTGTTTCAAATTCATTTTCTGAAATTGCGGCATTTCGTTTTTTCAATAATCCCGATTCTTCTAAAGATAATTCGCACATTTGTAGGTCGTCCTTCCCTAAAAATTATTTTCTTATGGCGTACTACAGTATAATTAGGTATATATATACAGCAGTATATATTAATGCAGTTTCTCTTGGAGAGATGGCGCGGACATAAACAAATGTATATTAACATATACGAAAAATCTACAGTATAATAAAAAATGTCGAGATATTTAAATAATTACCTGCAACTAAAAGAACTGGTCGTTTATTAGGGAGTAAGTGTAATTGCCTGGCAACGTACTGTCCCTGAAAATGGGCATACCACCAACCCCTTTCACGAGGATCTTTTGATCCTGATTTTCTGATTGCTACTCGGAAATATCTCGCCTTGTTGTCATGATTATCCAGATTTAATGGTTTTGGTTTTCTTTTTGCGATAGCTTGAGGAATTCTTTCAATGTCGTCATTTAAACTAGCCGATGCTGTTCCTTTGTTTTTCAATCTCCATTCATGGTAAATTTTTAGACGACGATGAAATTCATATTTACAGGCCTAATAATGGAAGAATTTTGCATATTTTCCAATTTATTGAGGTCTTTACTTACTTCTAACAGTTCTTCGTCGGCAGGAGAACTAACAAGAATGTTACGAAGTTCAAAATATTTCCATTTTGAAAGATCTAATTTTGCGTTGCCGTAAATAGCAGCTCTCTTTTGTCTTTTTACCGCTTCTAATCTAATGATTTACAGTAATTACGTATTAATTAATGTAAAAAGTAACATTTTTTACTGACCTAGGGCCAATCTGTGAACTTTCGTCCACTTTTCCATTACTTTCGACAGCCAATCGAAGCGCCACTTCGTGGTCTTGTCTTTCTAATTCAAGCAATTCGCGAAGTCTTTGTTCTTCTTCCGCTAACTTTACTATTTCCGCTTGAAGTTCCGATAATCTTTGTTTATCCAATTCATCCTAAAAATAAAAAAACAACAGTTTTAACTGACATGCATTAACTCTTGCTGGAACATTTTAAAATGCACTTATAAAGACAATCGTTTGGAGAGTTACACCACACTTTTTATTGATAAAACTAAACATGTGCTTATCACAAGTTCTCCAAGTACCTATTTCAATATTATTATTGGATAAAAACATGTACTACAACATTTATAATAAACCAGGTTTTACCTGCGGCTTCGCTCGCGTTAATGTCAAATACTGTAGCGACCACATAAAATTAATTGTTATATCCCCCGAGAACAGTATTTTTTCTGGATAAAATGTACCCTATGTTCTTCTCTGAACCCCTGACAAAATACGTACAAAATTTCATGACAATCGGTTGAGTAATTTAGGCATGAAATGGTAACAAATAAACAAACAAACACATTCGCATTTATAATATTAGTTATAATACTGACCTGTTTTTTGCGTTCCAGTTGTTCTTGTTTCTTTCTTCGAATCGAATTGAGATTTATAGTTCTATTTATTTGTTCTGTACGTTTTCTTCTTTCTTCCTTTTCGTTCAGTTTAATTTCTTGTTTCATACTTTGCTCTAACTCTTTTAAGTTTTCATTCTCTTGAGTAACACTTTTCTTTAATTCGTTAATGTATTTATTAATTTTAGAAGCGAGTTGATTATACAAGTCATCGATAGTGTTTTCACTTAATTTGCTTTCTCCCTAAAAATAACAATCAGGCTTTAGTTACTTACGATTCTCAGAAATATATTTAATGATATTACTACCTTAATTTTAGAAATTGCTTTCTTAATTTCCTCTTTCAAATTGTTTATGTCTTTGGCCACACTTTTCTTATTATTTTCTTTCATCCCTAAGGCTACTATTTCTATTTGTTTGACGTTTTTGTTGAGATTTTGGATCTTTTTTAGACACTTAATTTTGGGTCGATTGTATTTTCTAGCCAAATATCCTCGAAATATTTGTTGTATTTTTGTTGCTGCGGCTCTCCGCTTCAAAATATCTATATTTAAACTATTAAATTTGATGCATATGACCCGAATATTGGGTGATAGGTGGCAACCATTGTAATTAATTTAAATACCGTTTTATGCCAATTATACTACATTCTGCATTAAAGTATTCTATGATTTATATGTCTTTTAACAGACATAGTATAAATATAACCTTTGAAAAAGAGATTTCTCGGTTATTTTATGATAATACAATGTTTTTAACTAATATTCTACTCAAAAGAGTGAAATCTAAGTAAGTAAATAATGTCATTTTTTTAATAAAAAATAAATTATACCACTTTTTAGACGGATTATGGTCCAAATGGAAAGTGTGGTTAGTGGACATAGATATATTGCTATAAGAGATAGATTAGCTGAAAAATTAGAAGTTATAAAATTTGATCCTTTTCGTAAGAGTGAAAATTAATTTTAAAACATTAACTTCATAGTTTCTTTGTTTCAGTTCAAACAGAATCTTTGTATAGGGAAAAGAAAAAAATTAGAAGTATGAAGTAGAGTACACTCCTTGTCTATGATTTATACCATTTATACTGTGAAGATGTTCATTGATACGGAACTATTGATGTATATCTACCATTGAACAAAATACATTTTAAATGTATGTTGTAGTATAATTTTATAATTTAACGAAATTTAAACGAATAAAGCTTCTTTAAGTTATATTTTATCTTATGAAATGAAAAATTATGTATAATTAATGAAATTGTACTAAAGTTGGTCGGTTAACGCTGTTATTAGATTGAAATGTACGGTTTTCCCCCATATTGTTCCCATTGTGTTTCAAATTCATTTTCTGAAATTGCGGCATTTCGTTTTTTCAATAATCCCGATTCTTCTAAAGATAATTCGCACATTTGTAGGTCGTCCTTCCCTAAAAATTATTTTCTTATGGCGTACTACAGTATAATTAGGTATATATATACAGCAGTATATATTAATGCAGTTTCTCTTGGAGAGATGGCGCGGACATAAACAAATGTATATTAACATATACGAAAAATCTACAGTATAATAAAAAATGTCGAGATATTTAAATAATTACCTGCAACTAAAAGAACTGGTCGTTTATTAGGGAGTAAGTGTAATTGCCTGGCAACGTACTGTCCCTGAAAATGGGCATACCACCAACCCCTTTCACGAGGATCTTTTGATCCTGATTTTCTGATTGCTACTCGGAAATATCTCGCCTTGTTGTCATGATTATCCAGATTTAATGGTTTTGGTTTTCTTTTTGCGATAGCTTGAGGAATTCTTTCAATGTCGTCATTTAAACTAGCCGATGCTGTTCCTTTGTTTTTCAATCTCCATTCATGGTAAATTTTTAGACGACGATGAAATTCATATTTACAGGCCTAATAATGGAAGAATTTTGCATATTTTCCAATTTATTGAGGTCTTTACTTACTTCTAACAGTTCTTCGTCGGCAGGAGAACTAACAAGAATGTTACGAAGTTCAAAATATTTCCATTTTGAAAGATCTAATTTTGCGTTGCCGTAAATAGCAGCTCTCTTTTGTCTTTTTACCGCTTCTAATCTAATGATTTACAGTAATTACGTATTAATTAATGTAAAAAGTAACATTTTTTACTGACCTAGGGCCAATCTGTGAACTTTCGTCCACTTTTCCATTACTTTCGACAGCCAATCGAAGCGCCACTTCGTGGTCTTGTCTTTCTAATTCAAGCAATTCGCGAAGTCTTTGTTCTTCTTCCGCTAACTTTACTATTTCCGCTTGAAGTTCCGATAATCTTTGTTTATCCAATTCATCCTAAAAATAAAAAAACAACAGTTTTAACTGACATGCATTAACTCTTGCTGGAACATTTTAAAATGCACTTATAAAGACAATCGTTTGGAGAGTTACACCACACTTTTTATTGATAAAACTAAACATGTGCTTATCACAAGTTCTCCAAGTACCTATTTCAATATTATTATTGGATAAAAACATGTACTACAACATTTATAATAAACCAGGTTTTACCTGCGGCTTCGCTCGCGTTAATGTCAAATACTGTAGCGACCACATAAAATTAATTGTTATATCCCCCGAGAACAGTATTTTTTCTGGATAAAATGTACCCTATGTTCTTCTCTGAACCCCTGACAAAATACGTACAAAATTTCATGACAATCGGTTGAGTAATTTAGGCATGAAATGGTAACAAATAAACAAACAAACACATTCGCATTTATAATATTAGTTATAATACTGACCTGTTTTTTGCGTTCCAGTTGTTCTTGTTTCTTTCTTCGAATCGAATTGAGATTTATAGTTCTATTTATTTGTTCTGTACGTTTTCTTCTTTCTTCCTTTTCGTTCAGTTTAATTTCTTGTTTCATACTTTGCTCTAACTCTTTTAAGTTTTCATTCTCTTGAGTAACACTTTTCTTTAATTCGTTAATGTATTTATTAATTTTAGAAGCGAGTTGATTATACAAGTCATCGATAGTGTTTTCACTTAATTTGCTTTCTCCCTAAAAATAACAATCAGGCTTTAGTTACTTACGATTCTCAGAAATATATTTAATGATATTACTACCTTAATTTTAGAAATTGCTTTCTTAATTTCCTCTTTCAAATTGTTTATGTCTTTGGCCACACTTTTCTTATTATTTTCTTTCATCCCTAAGGCTACTATTTCTATTTGTTTGACGTTTTTGTTGAGATTTTGGATCTTTTTTAGACACTTAATTTTGGGTCGATTGTATTTTCTAGCCAAATATCCTCGAAATATTTGTTGTATTTTTGTTGCTGCGGCTCTCCGCTTCAAAATATCNTCAAGTAGGTACCTGTAATCGTTATTTCTTATTAGTATTCATAGTTAAACAATCTTATGTTATGGCGAAATGTCTACTAATCTACTTCGCTTGGATTGAATTTATAGCGCCGAACATGACCGAGCAGTTTCGGTTTCGGTCGTAGTTTCGGCAGGTTTGCCGCCGAAACCGAAACTAAACCGAAACTCGTTTTTCTGCCGAAACTCGACCGAAACCGAAACAGAAACCGAACTTTCGGTCGGACACTACATCCAATCGACAATAATTTACATACCTGGTACATTCGTAAGGCACATTGTACGTACTAAGCCACTTTACGCGGTGCGAGGTGTTGTACAAGATGCGTCCCAAGGTTTTCAGTTGTGCGACCCCTTGGAAGGCGCGGGATCTTTGGACGGAAAAGAACAAGACGACGTTTGCGTCTTTCTGTAAACGAAAAACTCAAATAGTATCGAACAAAGTGTGCTCCATACAACTTACGTTAGGTAAATTTATAAGTTTTCTTTCCATGTGTGGCGAAAACAGCCACGTTCCCTGCGCTTGACTTATTTGAATGCTTTTCATTGTCTTGGGTTTGACTACGAAAAACTGAACGTCACCAGTAATGCAATTGTCAAACTGTTCCGTCTTCTTTGGGGACCGTGGGACGCCCCTGTAGTTATTATTAAAATATTCACAACTGGTCGAAGGCGTGGGCATATCCTGTTGATTCCTAGTCCTCCAATTGTTCTGGTGAGACGACGAGGGCTCTTGGTGTTGAAAATTCGTTCCACAATTATCCTGAGAGCTGTTTGACCTCCAATTTTCTGTTTCTTTCCTTTCCATTTCCATGAGAGCTTTCCGGAAGAGTTCAGCGTGATTGTTTTCGGAATATTCATTCCTTAACATGGCTTTTAAGGGTAAATAAGGGCTTGCAGGAAAATCTCGCCAAGTTGGAGCAGGATCCGATCTTCCCATGGGTTCTTGCTGGGGTCGGATTCGGGTTTTAGGAATGGCACCTTTACCTCTCACATAGGCTCTGTCGTTATTGCCAACCCTTTGACTACCTGCTCGAAATGCTCTAACACTGTCAAAAGAAATTGGTTTTGGAGGAATCCCTATCCCTTCAGGTTGTTTCAAACCGTATTTGGCATCTTCGACGTGGAGTATCTCTAAAAGGCCTTTCAAGATGCCATTTTCCTGCGACGTTGGCACGGTATGCGGATTTAAAACCTTCTTCAACACTATTGTGTCCAACATCTTCCTCAGCTTAAGAAGATTAGTATTCGGGATCTCAAACGTTATCCAGTCGTCAATTGTAAAAGTCGTGGTGGGATCGTGTTCGTTTTCTATGAAAGACTTCGTTTCTTGACCACACATCAATGCAATCTGCAAATAAACAAACTGTAAATTTCAGAGAACCACAAAAGGGGACAAATTTACCATTATGGGTGTCACAACAGTGCCAAACTTTATACTAGACTGGAGTCTCATTTTTATCAGTTCTTCATAAAGGATCCACAGTCCGTCAGCTTCTTTATCTCCAGCTAAATTTAGACGTTTCAAACAGGATATATTATGAATAAAGACCTTCTTTTCTGTCCTAAAATAGAAAAAGAGAAAGAAATTGAAATTATCCAATCAAATTTTTAAAAAATAATAGTTTACTTTGTACGTAAGCTGTTTTCATGAACGTAAGCAACGTTTGGGTAAAGCCCCGCACTCATAGCAGCCTTTATCATGGGCCAACTCTCGGCGTGAACGTTGAGCAGCTGTATGGCATCGGAGGGACGAGTGGGGACGAATCCTGCAGCCCTTAATTGCTTCAAAAGCTGCGCCCTATTTCCAGCAATTATTTCCATCGACGCTGCACTCACAAAGTTTTGACGACAGAAAAGCCGCTCCTTATTATTACTTCGTGCGTGCTGTTATTAAAAGAACAAAATAAATATACCTCTAACGGCCTTGTAAATGATAAAATCTACCTGCCATTCCTGGAAAACCTTCAACAATATCATGTGATCGCTGAAACTTTGTCCAGAAAATTCATGACGCCTTTGATTGCATAGGGTCTTTTTTTCAGAATTTATGGGCAAAATGAAGGGGTCCCTTAAAAAAAAAAACAAGATATAAGATGAATTTCAACACATATCACTTATTATTTAACTTACTTATAGGTCAACGATGCAACTATGGTCAACATGGGATCTAAGCATTTTAGAACTATAGAATAAATCAACATTTTTCCCAAATGGGGCTCAACAGACAACTGTAACATATGAGAACCCAAAGCGGTTAAGTTTTCGTCCTCGTCCAGAGCTCCAAGAGATATTAAGGAGGCTATTGCAGACTCCACGGACCTTTTAGATGGTCGATCCATGGCCTTATCCAAGAATTCGGCTATGGACATATCTTGTAGGCACAATAATTTGGTTAAAAGACAAAGTTCGTGTAAAGGGACCCTAACAATTTCAGGGGTACGATAAGGCAAAAACGAATCATACGTCTCTTTAGAGTACAAACAGTAACATTCTCCTGGACGAGTTCTGCCAGCTCTGCCCCGTCTCTGGTCAGCGTTAGATTTAGAAATCCAAAAAGTTTGAAGAGAAGAAATGCCACTGATCTAAAGAAGTTTGATTTAAATTACTTTTGGATTAGCAATGAAAAAGATATGACTTACTGCATCATAAGTCTTTTCCTTCATTTTTCCAGAGTCAATAACGTAAACCACATCATCAATAGTAATACTAGTTTCGGCAATATTTGTAGACAATATTAGTTTTTGTTTCCCCTGGATAACGTTGAAAACCTGAGCCTGATTTCCAATCTGCATGCTACTGTGCAATATATAAATTTCAAAATCGTTGTCATTGAAACTATTGTGTTGCGTTATCGCGTCTCTGCAGTTCAGTATGTCTTCGTAGCCGGGTAAAAATACAAGAACACTCCCAGAAGGATCTTTTTCTCGAATAAAGAAAATTATTCTTGCGATAAGATTACAATCAATCGCATCTCTAGATATTATTTTATCACATGCGTCAAGAAGTTCGGAACTGTAGGCGGCATTGGGAATGGTATTGGGTTTGGCAGCATTCATTAAAGATAAAAGTTCCAGGACATCCCATTTATTGTAATATGCAGCCCAATCAGCCGCAGAAAGCCCTTCACAAGACTTCAGAGATATATCAGCTCCTATTGAAAAAATAAAGAATTTAAACAAATGCAATTTAAGAATTATTTTGCATTTATTTAAAAAACTAACCCATGCAAAGAAGTTGTTCAACAAGCTCGAGCTGCCCATACATTATAGCTGCCATTAAGGGGGTATACCCTCTGGAATTTTGCTGGTCAATCCATGCTGATTCGGACAAAATTAATTGCATAACATGAGCAAAAGTATCTTCGGTTCCATGTGCAATGCATTCGTCTATTGCCGCAATCATTTCGTTTTTTAACACTTCGTCATATTCGGAACTCATTTTGCAGGCTCCTGCGTCAGAACCATCTTCAGAGAATTCATCGGTTCTAGGTGCGTACAGTTCATAATCTATCTTTTGTAAAATTTCAGGAAGGTAATGCCTTTCTACCGGATACATTTTCCCTGGTATGGTCATTATAGATGCAGTGGGAAAGTAAGATTTGAATTCTGAAATATTCATGGTGGCTGACATAAGTATCAGCTTCATATTAGGGTATTCATGGAGACATTCGCGAAGACATATCATTAGAAAGTCAGAAAATTTGTCCCTCTCGTGTATCTCGTCCAATATAACGTGTGTTACATTAACTAGGCACTTGTAGCCTTTCATGCAGGTCCTTAACAGGACCCCGTTTGTGCAATAAATCAAAGACGTTTTAGGACCCATACTTGACTCCAGTTTAATTTGATAACCAACTGTTTGCCCCACTTTTTCCCCCCTTTCTTTTGCTACCCTTTCAGCCACAGAAACAGCAGAGATGCGTCTAGGTTGACAGCAAATAATGCGGCAAGGCTTATTTTTACTGCAAAAGTCTTCTAAGATAAATTGGGGAAATTGTGTCGTTTTACCTGATCCAGTTTCAGAAGTTACTATAACTATTTGATTATTTTCTAAATGACTTAGAAATTCGTCTCGACAATTCCACGATGGTAACGTTTTACGAAAATTTAACAAATTATTGGGCTGAATTTGTGGCACATTAACAAGATTTCCATAGCTGAGCCTTCCAAAATTAGAATCGTTTAGTATCTGCTTGCTGATATTGTTTTTGTTTGCAATATTAATACTGGCATATGAACCATGTTGGTATATTAACTCATTTAGAGCTGAGTCAGCTTCCTCGCTCAAATTTAGTAATGTAGCAGCACTCATTGTGGAGGTGTTTTTTGATATGGTCAGTATTCGGTTTGGTTCTTTACCTGATGATTTTGTACTCAAGCCAATTGATTGGCATCGTCTGTGAATAAATGCTCGTTCTACTTTTGATAAGCCTGAAGGGAAAGTATGAAATGTGCGCTCAGGGTCGTCCATAAAAAGTTTTAGTTCATGTTCCACAAAATCTTTGCAACTTTTCTCAATTTTTTCTTCAAGGGGTGCTTTACTGTTTCGGGACTTCGACATTCTCTTGCTACGTGTAAATCAAACAAAAAACATACATAACACAATACAATAATTAGAAAATGTTTTTTAAAGAGAACTAAAATACAGTTTTGAGGTTAACTTCACACTTACTCAATTTCTACTTTCTCTTTGAATCGATGACGCCTAGTATTGTATGTTGAAAGTTGTTTTAATTAATTTCACATAACTGAAATCACAAATACACATCAGTTTACAAAATTTTGGCAAATTAAATAAATATTTTTTAACGGAAATTTAAACGTGTAACTGTCACACCGCCATTTCTGTACAATTGTTATTTAAATTCTATGGTTCCATTCTTGTAGAGTGATCAATTGTTGCACAGTTCGTTCACCCCAACCAACAATTAATATTTGTAATATTTTAAAGTTTATTCACCCTGGGCAACAATCAAGTAGTAAAATATCGTCATTGTAAGTTTACTGACCTTAAAACAACATCTGGTGAATATAAAGCTTTATTTAGTATTTAAAAAGTAATATGAAACATATTTAAACTAAATATTACTTTATAAATCCACAAAATGATAATGTTAGCCTTTTAATAGAATAATTACAATAATTCTTAGATTGTACTATTGGTATCAATAAATAACTACATTAAACTTGAACACCAACTTCTCCTAAAATATCTGAGAGCCTTTCTAAATGAACATTAACGTTTCCAATATCTTTTTCTGCTTTACTTCTATTCAGTAACTGAAAAGCATTCATATATTCCAACTCAGAGAATTCTGGTCCTTTCTCAACAATACTATTCAATATTTCCTACAAAAAGAACTCAAACATTATAAATATTAATTATTAAAGTACTTCATTACCTCTGGCGTCAAAAAGAACAATTCAAAGTAATGCCTTGCATGATCTAAAGCCACTTCTCTAGTCATTGTTATGTTTGTCAAGGTCTGCTGCAAGGCAAATATGTTTCTACACATTCTTTGGATCCCTGCCTCATTAATGACCTGACGATATTGCGAAGAACTTATCAAAATTTTTGCTATTAGATGACCTAAGCCTTCAAATATATACTGAAAAGGAACAACAAATTATTACGTTATCTAATTTAAATGCTCAACCTATTTCACCTTGCATTTTCTTGGATGCAAACTAGAAGTCATGGCTTCATCCACATTAGCTAAGACTCTACTTAATTCTAAAACTTTCGGATCGGGTTCGTGGGTTTCTGCGTTGTAGTCGCTCTGAGCCAACAAATAATGAAAACACTGCACTCGGACCTGCACAATCATAATTAAATGCAAATTAAGCTACCTACTTGAACCCTCACAATACCTCCAAATGTAGCAATAGCAAGCATGTGTTCGCAAGTTCGTCGAAATCTTGGGCAACACTCGTTAATTGATGAAGAGTTGCAGAAGAAACAGGTGATGGAGTCTCTACTGCATTCGGTTTTGGGGGGGCAAGGGTGGGTTCATGTCTAAACTGACTAGCAAAGTGAAGCATTCTAACAGAGAACCATTCCTTAAAAACAATGTTAATATAGTTTTAATAACTCAATTTTCAATATTTGAAACTCACCATACTTTCTTGCAACTGTGCTAGTTCCTTTAGTAAAGACATATCTGACAAAATTTCTCCTGAACTCACTCCCCCTTCCCCAAGGTTGCTTGCAAGTATCTCAGCTTCTCTTCTGTTTCGTTGCCTTATGTCTTCTGGACTTTCCTCTTCAGGGTGTAACTCCTGCCCTGCTCTGGATACTTTCCTTTCGTGCCTGGCTTGATGTTCTTGTTGTGCTTTTAGGTTCATCCAGTTAGGTAAAGATCTTTAAAGGTAAATTAACTTTTACCTGACTTATTAAATGCAATATTGACTTCAAATTGTATACTTTAAAAATCTACTGATATCTTCATCTTTCAACCAAGCTGCACTACATATTCGTCTATCCTCGGAATGTGGTTGGACAATTCCCTGATAGGCGGCGTGGCATGTTTCCCGGTATTCTCTTAACGCTATAGAAACAGATCTTACAATGTCCTCCCCATAAAGAGGTAAAGCTTGCCAGTAATCAGTCCATTTCCGAATTATCTTTTCAACGTTTACTGTGCTCTGTAAAATGGAATATGTAATGAAAAGTTGACGCAAAGTGGCTAATTCTAACTAACAACAAGTAAAGGTTTATAATCGGTGGTAGCATCAAGTAAAATAGTAGATTTCCAAGCGTCTACAGCTCTAACCACTGCCTCTATCTGATTTAATGTTTCTATCCTCTTGCGAATTAAGAACACATCTTTTACATTATTTGAAAGAAACTGATTCAGGGACGAACTTCTACAAGCAAAATTGAAAGCAAATTGAAGTTAACCGAGTTTTAACAACGAAATTTTACCCCGGTTTTAATTCCAATGACTTTTCAATTTCATCCACGAAATTAATAAGCGGTACGAAGACTGTTAAAATATTTTCTGAATCTGCAGGGCACACTAATACTTTGTTAGAGGCTTGTGCCTCCTTTGAGGAATTTCCGGAAGACACTGAACCTGATGCAGAGTCAAACTTGAATAGCGCTTTCTTTTTCCTGGAAAATAATTCAATTTTTGCGCATTTTTTTGGAAAAACTCTCGAAAAACTTACGTTTGTTGCTTTCTTCGCGAAAAATATGATGACAAATCGTTATTATTCGAAAAATTATCTGGTATTAACTGCGAATCATTCGACATATTTTGCATATCCAAATAGTCGTTTAATAGAAACTGAAGCTAAAAATGTAAATGAATTAGCCTTAAAATCAATTAAAAATACTATAGCTTACAATGACTTGCACTTGGCCCCAGTAAAACTTCATGTCATACAACTTTACATCGACTTTATGGGCCTTGGAAGCATTCATTAAATACTGAACAATAACTTCTTGAGCTTTCCCAATTTGCCTAAACTGTTCAAATAAAGTGTGCATCAACTCTAAGAGAGTTACTTCTCCATTTAAAGCAGAATCCTCACATCCCTGCACAGCAAACACATCATTTACATGATAAGTTGTGTGTTGTACAATGATTAGCAATTCACTCTGCATTCCTGTTTTCAATTTCTGTAAAAAGTATCATTTTGTCATTGGTTAAACAGGACTTCCAAAAATAATAGTGTTACCTCAACCAAAAAAGGCAGCTTTTCTAAAATTGCAAAGCATTTTATTAAAATAGCTATGAAGTGTGCAGAATTTTTTTCAGGGTTGTCTATGTTTAAGTTTTCTTCCACTTCAAAATCATCATCCTTAATTGAGAGCCTGTAAATTACGCGTTAGGATAACAAACCCTGTCTTCTTTATTACATAATATTTACTGGGAAATATCCAGTATATTTTTCCTAGCTACAGCCCTCTGCCTTGCTGATAGTCTCAGTTCAGTGCTGCGTTGTAAAGGAGAATCAAATAAAAAGTCTCTGCCAGATCCTTGTCTTCTGAGTGCTAGAGCATTCTGAGCGGTCTTCACATAAATATGGTTTTTGAGTTCATGAAGTAGTTGAATATGCAAATTCTAAAAAAAATTTTTTTTAAAAATGTTTGCCAACTCCTGTGGTACAACGTTTATACCTCTTTTTTAACTTCAAGATTTTGACTTAGTTCTTTTAGCCCTTCTACACCATCAAAATTCTCTTTTCCTAATGACACCGCTTCTATAAGGAGATTGGTAGCATGCAAATATTGTTTCCGAGAAAGATGAAAATTTATTTTGTTAGGGATATCATTTAAAGTTTCACTAAAAGAAAATTGAATAAGAAACTACTATGCAAATTAAATACACTTACATTTTTTCCAGTAATTGAAGCATATACTTATATTCCAAGTGTTCAGTCCATAATTTTCTCAACTCATCACTTCTACAATGTAAAAGGGATTTACAAGCCTTTAAATTTTCTTTTACAGTCCTTATTTTCTCACGGGATTCCCTTATTGAAGATGAAATTGAACTAAATAGTTGCATCACCTTTAAAATTGATTTAATTACTTACAACAACAGTATTATTCTTGATTTAGCTAAACTAGGTGCAATAATGATAAGACATATTCTTAATTTAACTATTTATAATATTGGTATAACATATGCTTGATTTGACTAGTTACAACAATGGTATGACATATTTCTGTTCTAACTAAAGTAGTCACAACAATAGCATAACATATTCTTAATCTTACTAAAACAGTCATAACAATGGTATGACATATTCTTGATTTGACTAGTCAAATTAGTACATAATAATGTGCATTTGAATTAACTGATATGTTTCTTTTTATTTGATTAGAATAATACCTTTGTTAAGTCACCTTCATGTCTTGAAACTAACTCATCTAATCGCTTGTCACTTTGTTTATATTCAGCTTCAAGTTTAGCCTTTTCTTTCTCACGTTGCTCATTGGTCTCACTAGCTGATAAAGTCCTAATAACTGACATTAGCAGACCACTCTAAAATATTTAAAAATAAAGGAAAGGTTATTATGAAGTTATCTTCAACTAATTTAAATAAACTAGTGGACTAAATTTTGGTTATTTCTATTAAACTTACGGTTTTCTTTGAAAAAACCATTATTAAATGAGTGTTATTATTTATTTTGAGCAGCTGTATACTGTTTTAATTCCTTAAAATTAACACCTTTAGAACAGCAGTAAAACTTTATTATCATTAATTAATTAGAAGACTTACACTTTCTTTAAGGGGTTTTACTCCCCTAGGTGGTTTAGTGGGTGGCAAAATCTCCATATCTTGAAATTTTATTGTATCACTATTATATATTTACATAACTACACCTCCGTTTGTATCCATCATTTCTGCCTATGATATCAGACACTATTTATTATAAAACATCTGTACCATTTTATAACATATTCCATGATCTCTATGGGAACAATGTAAAATTAATTGTTGACAATAATATGTTAACAATAGTACTTTTTATACTTTAGTGTTATGTAGCATAGATAAGGTTTTGGAGTATGATCATAGATTAGTATGATTTATACTTAACGTTTATACTAGTACATTGTCAAATTCAAATATCTTTATAATTTTTATAAACTAATTTGCTGAGGTAATGGACACAACTTTTGACGATATGTGGGGTTCCTGGAATTGGACTAACACAATGAAAGCAAGCTTTTTAGAACATACGGCTTATTCTCGATCCCTATTGAGTATTTTGTTTATTATATTAATTCTAACAATATTTATTATATTTAAACTATTAAATTTGATGCATATGACCCGAATATTGGGTGATAGGTGGCAACCATTGTAATTAATTTAAATACCGTTTTATGCCAATTATACTACATTCTGCATTAAAGTATTCTATGATTTATATGTCTTTTAACAGACATAGTATAAATATAACCTTTGAAAAAGAGATTTCTCGGTTATTTTATGATAATACAATGTTTTTAACTAATATTCTACTCAAAAGAGTGAAATCTAAGTAAGTAAATAATGTCATTTTTTTAATAAAAAATAAATTATACCACTTTTTAGACGGATTATGGTCCAAATGGAAAGTGTGGTTAGTGGACATAGATATATTGCTATAAGAGATAGATTAGCTGAAAAATTAGAAGTTATAAAATTTGATCCTTTTCGTAAGAGTGAAAATTAATTTTAAAACATTAACTTCATAGTTTCTTTGTTTCAGTTCAAACAGAATCTTTGTATAGGGAAAAGAAAAAAATTAGAAGTATGAAGTAGAGTACACTCCTTGTCTATGATTTATACCATTTATACTGTGAAGATGTTCATTGATACGGAACTATTGATGTATATCTACCATTGAACAAAATACATTTTAAATGTATGTTGTAGTATAATTTTATAATTTAACGAAATTTAAACGAATAAAGCTTCTTTAAGTTATATTTTATCTTATGAAATGAAAAATTATGTATAATTAATGAAATTGTACTAAAGTTGGTCGGTTAACGCTGTTATTAGATTGAAATGTACGGTTTTCCCCCATATTGTTCCCATTGTGTTTCAAATTCATTTTCTGAAATTGCGGCATTTCGTTTTTTCAATAATCCCGATTCTTCTAAAGATAATTCGCACATTTGTAGGTCGTCCTTCCCTAAAAATTATTTTCTTATGGCGTACTACAGTATAATTAGGTATATATATACAGCAGTATATATTAATGCAGTTTCTCTTGGAGAGATGGCGCGGACATAAACAAATGTATATTAACATATACGAAAAATCTACAGTATAATAAAAAATGTCGAGATATTTAAATAATTACCTGCAACTAAAAGAACTGGTCGTTTATTAGGGAGTAAGTGTAATTGCCTGGCAACGTACTGTCCCTGAAAATGGGCATACCACCAACCCCTTTCACGAGGATCTTTTGATCCTGATTTTCTGATTGCTACTCGGAAATATCTCGCCTTGTTGTCATGATTATCCAGATTTAATGGTTTTGGTTTTCTTTTTGCGATAGCTTGAGGAATTCTTTCAATGTCGTCATTTAAACTAGCCGATGCTGTTCCTTTGTTTTTCAATCTCCATTCATGGTAAATTTTTAGACGACGATGAAATTCATATTTACAGGCCTAATAATGGAAGAATTTTGCATATTTTCCAATTTATTGAGGTCTTTACTTACTTCTAACAGTTCTTCGTCGGCAGGAGAACTAACAAGAATGTTACGAAGTTCAAAATATTTCCATTTTGAAAGATCTAATTTTGCGTTGCCGTAAATAGCAGCTCTCTTTTGTCTTTTTACCGCTTCTAATCTAATGATTTACAGTAATTACGTATTAATTAATGTAAAAAGTAACATTTTTTACTGACCTAGGGCCAATCTGTGAACTTTCGTCCACTTTTCCATTACTTTCGACAGCCAATCGAAGCGCCACTTCGTGGTCTTGTCTTTCTAATTCAAGCAATTCGCGAAGTCTTTGTTCTTCTTCCGCTAACTTTACTATTTCCGCTTGAAGTTCCGATAATCTTTGTTTATCCAATTCATCCTAAAAATAAAAAAACAACAGTTTTAACTGACATGCATTAACTCTTGCTGGAACATTTTAAAATGCACTTATAAAGACAATCGTTTGGAGAGTTACACCACACTTTTTATTGATAAAACTAAACATGTGCTTATCACAAGTTCTCCAAGTACCTATTTCAATATTATTATTGGATAAAAACATGTACTACAACATTTATAATAAACCAGGTTTTACCTGCGGCTTCGCTCGCGTTAATGTCAAATACTGTAGCGACCACATAAAATTAATTGTTATATCCCCCGAGAACAGTATTTTTTCTGGATAAAATGTACCCTATGTTCTTCTCTGAACCCCTGACAAAATACGTACAAAATTTCATGACAATCGGTTGAGTAATTTAGGCATGAAATGGTAACAAATAAACAAACAAACACATTCGCATTTATAATATTAGTTATAATACTGACCTGTTTTTTGCGTTCCAGTTGTTCTTGTTTCTTTCTTCGAATCGAATTGAGATTTATAGTTCTATTTATTTGTTCTGTACGTTTTCTTCTTTCTTCCTTTTCGTTCAGTTTAATTTCTTGTTTCATACTTTGCTCTAACTCTTTTAAGTTTTCATTCTCTTGAGTAACACTTTTCTTTAATTCGTTAATGTATTTATTAATTTTAGAAGCGAGTTGATTATACAAGTCATCGATAGTGTTTTCACTTAATTTGCTTTCTCCCTAAAAATAACAATCAGGCTTTAGTTACTTACGATTCTCAGAAATATATTTAATGATATTACTACCTTAATTTTAGAAATTGCTTTCTTAATTTCCTCTTTCAAATTGTTTATGTCTTTGGCCACACTTTTCTTATTATTTTCTTTCATCCCTAAGGCTACTATTTCTATTTGTTTGACGTTTTTGTTGAGATTTTGGATCTTTTTTAGACACTTAATTTTGGGTCGATTGTATTTTCTAGCCAAATATCCTCGAAATATTTGTTGTATTTTTGTTGCTGCGGCTCTCCGCTTCAAAATATCGTTCCTAACTAAACCAAAAAGTAAACAAACGAAAACTAACTTGAAAATGATTAAAAACGTACACTTTAGTGCGACCAGGATTCCAAATTGAGATTGAGTCCACCTGGACCGTGTTAGCCACTGTTTGCTGCGCCTTATCATCACTTTTAATTCATCCGGGTTTGATCTGATAATCCTGTCCAATTCGGAAAACTTTCCCAGTTTAAAGAACACTCTTGTAATTCCGAATTTGTAGTTTTCTTCTGCCACATCAGTACTGTACAATAAAGCCTAAAATGCGGTAGCCAAAGAATTAATTACGTTTCGGATTAATTACTTATAACACAGTTTACTTCGCAAAACGATTTGGGTCTCAACCTGTTGACCTCGTCCGGAAAATAACTCGAGTACGTGGAATACACTTCCGCAAAAGGTGATCTACTGGGATATCCGTGCTTCATAAGATCTAAAGCGTGAATAACTCCGGAACTTTTAAGCTGGGTTAAGCATACAGGGCCGTCGAACTTTCGTTCTATCATATTCAAATTTGGTTTGATACAACGAATAAAGCTGGTGCCCTAAAAACTCATTTAATAAGTACCTATTTCAAAAGCGTCAGACGTTTGAAATTCCTTACGTTATTTTTTAATTTTTCCATCAGTTCTGCCAATTGCTTTTTAAATTTGCTTCCTACGCTTACGAAAGCCAGTTTACCTGCTTGGACGTTTGTGCTCTTGTTAAAAAAAGACTGAATTAAATCATTTTGGCTTTGCTGAACTATTTCTTCTAAGGATGCGTGAAGAGCGTCATTGTTTTTCTCAATAAAAAAACCCTAAGAAAAAGAAATCTTATGGGAGATATTTCGTGGTGAAAATTGAAAATATTTCGTACAGTTTCATAACATACGGCACCAGCAAAGTGTCGTATCAGAAATCCTTCGTCATCTCGGATGTTCCTGTGGGCCTGTAATTTGGAAGATCTTGGAAAATCCAGCCTAAAATGACCAGACCATTGGGTAAACACTTCGGTGGTAAAGTGTTGGAATGACGGTTTTGGCATCTTAGATTCTTCATCTAACAGGGTGAAGATACCCTTTTTGGGCGCTTCAATGAGGTCTTAAAAAATTAAAACTGATACTGTCCTGATTTGGGTCTAAAAACCGTCGTCGGTTGGAGTTTTTTCCTAACGTTTCGCTCGCATGCTCCATCCAGTATCAGAGATGGAAGGATCTTTGAAGAAGTTCGTCGAAACGTTAGGAAGCAACATAAAGAATATTTAGATAATAAAACGCGTACCTATACAGTCTTGATTATCGATAAATTTTATTTCTGGGATATCGATGGCTTCTCGAGTGTACAAATCCGTTTCGTATTTTAAGATTTTTTCGTTAAAAAAATGCTGCAATTTTTCGTTACAATAGTTTATGCAAAACTGTTCGAAACTGTTGACCGTAAAGAATTCTAAAAAAATACTAATTTTATAGAAATAATTGCAATACATAAACTCACCAAATCCAGCTATATCAAGAACACCAATATAATAGCTAGAAGTTCTGAACGGTATACTTTTATTGATTCTGTGAACAATATAATCAAAAAGTTTGCTATAGATCGCTTTAGCAAGAGCATCCCTTGCGTTATTGGCTTCTGTGATTTTTAATGGAACCCTATACGAATGAATGTTTCATTTGTTACGAACTTTCTGGGGAGATACTAACATACATAACTCACATTATTAGAGTGCCACGGTGATAACTTTTGTTGCTTTGCATTGATTTGTAAACAAGGGCTTGCCTAATTCGGGTCTGATCGATCCCCAGCAATTCACAAGCTACAGAGAGGGATTTTTCGCTGGCTTCCGAGACTGTACAGCTACCCCTTGTATCATCGGTAACTTCTTCAAATTGAACATTTCCCAAATGAAGAACTGCAGATACCGTGCTGTAAATGTCTAGCTTTTCTTTATCGCTCAAGCCCATTATCGACAATGCTTTGTCAAGCTCAAGAAAGCTTTCGACATCGTCCATGAGATTGTCTCGCAGTGGTCCTTTTTTGGAATGGTCGGCGCTTTTTTGAGACGAATGTAATTTCTTTTCGGAAGGTGCTTTTGTAAAATATCTCGTGCAGCCGCGCTTCAAATACTTAAAAACATTGGACTTTATAAAAGAGTTTGACATTGGAGTTTTTCTGGTTTACTGGCCATGATCTATAGGGTTGTTCGGAAAGTCATTTCGTTATTTTTTGTGGAATTGAAAGACAGTTTTCGTATAATAAACAAATACTTNCTCATCACTTCTACAATGTAAAAGGGATTTACAAGCCTTTAAATTTTCTTTTACAGTCCTTATTTTCTCACGGGATTCCCTTATTGAAGATGAAATTGAACTAAATAGTTGCATCACCTTTAAAATTGATTTAATTACTTACAACAACAGTATTATTCTTATTTAGCTAAACTAGGTGCAATAATGATAAGACATATTCTTAATTTAACTATTTATAATATTGGTATAACATATGCTTGATTTGACTAGTTACAACAATGGTATGACATATTTCTGTTCTAACTAAAGTAGTCACAACAATAGCATAACATATTCTTAATCTTACTAAAACAGTCATAACAATGGTATGACATATTCTTGATTTGACTAGTCAAATTAGTACATAATAATGTGCATTTGAATTAACTGATATGTTTCTTTTTATTTGATTAGAATAATACCTTTGTTAAGTCACCTTCATGTCTTGAAACTAACTCATCTAATCGCTTGTCACTTTGTTTATATTCAGCTTCAAGTTTAGCCTTTTCTTTCTCACGTTGCTCATTGGTCTCACTAGCTGATAAAGTCCTAATAACTGACATTAGCAGACCACTCTAAAATATTTAAAAATAAAGGAAAGGTTATTATGAAGTTATCTTCAACTAATTTAAATAAACTAGTGGACTAAATTTTGGTTATTTCTATTAAACTTACGGTTTTCTTTGAAAAAACCATTATTAAATGAGTGTTATTATTTATTTTGAGCAGCTGTATACTGTTTTAATTCCTTAAAATTAACACCTTTAGAACAGCAGTAAAACTTTATTATCATTAATTAATTAGAAGACTTACACTTTCTTTAAGGGGTTTTACTCCCCTAGGTGGTTTAGTGGGTGGCAAAATCTCCATATCTTGAAATTTTATTGTATCACTATTATATATTTACATAACTACACCTCCGTTTGTATCCATCATTTCTGCCTATGATATCAGACACTATTTATTATAAAACATCTGTACCATTTTATAACATATTCCATGATCTCTATGGGAACAATGTAAAATTAATTGTTGACAATAATATGTTAACAATAGTACTTTTTATACTTTAGTGTTATGTAGCATAGATAAGGTTTTGGAGTATGATCATAGATTAGTATGATTTATACTTAACGTTTATACTAGTACATTGTCAAATTCAAATATCTTTATAATTTTTATAAACTAATTTGCTGAGGTAATGGACACAACTTTTGACGATATGTGGGGTTCCTGGAATTGGACTAACACAATGAAAGCAAGCTTTTTAGAACATACGGCTTATTCTCGATCCCTATTGAGTATTTTGTTTATTATATTAATTCTAACAATATTTATTATATTTAAACTATTAAATTTGATGCATATGACCCGAATATTGGGTGATAGGTGGCAACCATTGTAATTAATTTAAATACCGTTTTATGCCAATTATACTACATTCTGCATTAAAGTATTCTATGATTTATATGTCTTTTAACAGACATAGTATAAATATAACCTTTGAAAAAGAGATTTCTCGGTTATTTTATGATAATACAATGTTTTTAACTAATATTCTACTCAAAAGAGTGAAATCTAAGTAAGTAAATAATGTCA